TTCCTTTCTCCAGTATCTAGCGTAACATATTCTTGCCGCTGTTACCGCTAGGAATATGAGTTTGTCCGTGTTTTGATCTATTTTCTCAACTGTGATTCCCAGTAGGAATATTTCTGGGGAGAGTGGAATTTTGATCTTCAATATATTTTGTAATTTTTCATGGATTTCTTTCCAGTATATTTTGGCCTTTTTGCAGTGCCACCACATGTGGTAATATGTGCCTACTGTCTCCCCACACTTCCAACATTTTGTGTTTAGATTCCTATAGAATTTCCCCAGTTTTTGGGGTGTTAAGTGCCACCTGTAGAATAGCTTGAGCCAATTTTCTTTTAGGTCGTGCGCTTTTGTATATTTTAGCTTCTTTGTCCAGATGGTTTCCCACTCTGCCAGACTTATTGATCTCCCTATATTGCTAGCCAATTTTACCATACAATCTTTTATTCTTTCCTCCTCCGTACTCCATTATAACAACTTTTTGTATATGAGCGATATTGTTTTTTTCCTAGATCTTATAATTTTGTCCCAGATGTTCTCCTCTTGCATGAATCCAGTTTTTTTGTCCATCGTAAAATATTCTTTTAGTTGTCTATCTTGCAGCCACGTTACATTTGGATATAGTTTTTTTTACTTCCTCTTGGGTTTTTAGATGCATCTCTTGACCATTTTTTTCTGTGATTTCTTTGTAGCAAGGCCACTTTATCCACCCCAGCTCTCTTCTTTGGCAGGCTTCTAGAGGGGAGACCCATAGCGGTGTTTTGTTGTATATTCTCTCTTTGTACTTCTCCCAAGTTTTTATTATCGCCACTCTAACAAAGTGATTTCCAAAACCTTTTTCTATTTTTCTTTTCCCATACCAGGTGTATGCGTGCCACCCCTTTCTCAGGTTGAAACCTTCCAAATTTAATTGTTTTTCATTTTTTAGCCTAATCCAATCGAGTACCCAAGTTATTGCACATGTTTTTGCGTATAGCCCCAGATCTGGCATTGCTAGTCCCCCTCTATTCTTCTCGTCTGTTATATTTTTAAAGTTTATTCTGTTTTTCTTATTTTGCCAGATAAATCTTCTTATGTCTTTATTCCACTGATTTAGTCCTTTCTGATTCCTTATAACTGGGAGATTTTGGAATAAAAATAACATTTTCGGTAGTACATTCATTTTTATGCATGCTATCCTGCCTAATAATGATAGCTTTAGGTTTTTCCATTTTTCCAGGTCTCTCCTAATTTCGTTCTATTTTGCTATATAATTGTTTTGCAGCAGTTGTGTATTTTTTGACGTTATTACAATTCCCAGATACTTTATTTTTGATGCTATTTTAATATTCCAATTTTTCCTAATTATGGCCAAATTCTTCTTTGGGATATTCTCTGTTATCGCTTCTGTTTTGTCCATATTTAGTTTAAAGCCTGCTACTTTCCCAAATTTCTCAATTGTTCCGAACCATTTTTCTAAATTTGTAGTTGTGTCCTCAACTATACAAATTACGTCGTCGGCAAATGCCCTGCATTTATATATTTGTCCTCTAATTGTGGCTCCTTTCAATTCTTTGTTTTCCCTTCTTTCATTCAACAGGATTTCCATCGTTAGTATAAAAATCAATGGTGAGAGCGGGCAGCCCTATCTGGTTCCTTTTTTATTTTGATTTGTTTTGTCTCTTGGCCATTTACTATAACTTTAGCTTGTTGATTATTATATATCGCTTCAATTGAATTTAGAAAGTAATAGCCAATGTCCATCTCTTTTAGTAATAGTTAAAAAAAATTCCAATTAATCTTATCAAATGCCTTTTCAGCATCCAGGGCCAGAAACAGGAGCGACTTGAGAAACTGCAAGTTGCTCCTGGTGTGAGAGAATTGGCCGTCTGCAAGGACGTTGCCCAGAGGATGCTTGGATGATTTGATGTTTTTTTAATCATCCTTGTGGGAGGCTTCTCTCATATCCCCGCATGAGGAGCTGGAGCTGATAGAGGGAGCTCATCCACCTCTCCCCGGATTCGAACCTGCGACCTGTCGGTCTTCAGTCCTGACAGCACAAGGGTTTAACCCACTGCACCACCGGGGGCTCTATCTCTTTAAAGGCTGTGAGATAGCTTGCCAACTTCTTTGACAGGTGCTCTTTAGAAAACAACTTATTTGATGGCCAAATCTTCTTCTAGCACCTGGACCATTTGGATGTACAGGTTTGCCAACTGGAATGGGTATGCCTCTGAACATTTATAGCTCTCATTGGAATAAATGTGTCCAATTGAGATTCAGCTGATAAAATGTTTGACACAAAGCAGGCATCTGGCCTATGTACTGTCAAACTCATGGATTACCAAACCAGCAGGACTTCCCAGCTTTATCGTGGCTTCCTCATAGCTATCCGCAATTTTTAATATATTTATTTGATGAATATATTAATCAACAAGATGATTCTGCTTTCATCTACCTTTCTCTATTTGGCTACCAACACTGCATGAGGCAGATTAAATTTAGAGAATGTAGCTGGCTCAAGCACATCCAACTACAGAAATTTGAGCAGGGTCTTCCAACACAGACACCACTACACCATACTTCTACTTGGAAAAAGTGCAGCATTATTTTTTTTTTACAAATTAATGGTTCTACCCAAGTAGCACTGATATATACACTGAATATTTCAGCAGTGGTGAAGCATGGTTTGGCTCCAAGAAAGGACTCTTTGGAAAACTGCACCACTCTAACTTTGTGGTATGCAAATATTGGCATTACAATACTTGAATTTTATGTATTGAAATAAATACATTTTGTACTAGTTCCATAAATAACCATAGTTGGTTTTGTTCCCCAATATCAATTAATCTGACAAATCAGCCCTCAGTGAATTTAAATTTTACGCAATTGCTAATAGGCATACAATGAAATGAATTGTAGGTAAGGAGCAAATCCCCAACTATTCACTCAGGATATATATTTTTATTGCATCAGCCTAGCTAACTATGTGAACAATGACAATTTTATTATCTCAGGTCCCTTCCCCACAGCTGTATAAAATCCATATTGAAGTGGATTATATGGCAGTGTGGACTCAGATAATCCAGTTCAAAGCAGATATTATGGATTATCTGCCTTGATATTCTGGGCTATATGGCTGTGTGAAAGGGCCCTCAGTTAGACTGAGTGGAATTCACAACCCACATGAGAATATGAAAATGACGGTTCTGTCAGTCTCACAGCTCTGAACACATAACCCTCTGTTTAGGTTCACATTTCACAGACATGTTTATATTAGCATAGTAGAACTTGTGGCCCTCATGCTGAGTTCTTAACGGCACTGCTGTGTTGGCAGAGTTGGGGAGAAGCAGGACATGGCCCAGTCATTTTGGAGTTGTTGTAACTGGAGCTCATGCTCTAGGAGTTCTCCCATGACACAGCCTGGTGTGTCTGTTTGCGTGTGAGAGAGAAAGTGATGGAACAGTACCATCTGAAAGTAAAGTACTATAGACACCCAGGAGACTCTTCTTAGTTGGCAGTTGCAAATCTATAATACTTTCATAATGGCAAGCAAGAAAAGGGGGTCAGTGTGGTATAGTGGCTTGTATGTTGGACCAAGAGTACATTTACATGATAGAATGAATGCAGTTTGACACCACTTTAACTGCCACAGCTCAAAACTATGGAATACTGGGGTTTATAGCTTGGTGATAACTACAAACCATCACATTGAGCCATGGCAGTTAAAGAGTTGTGAAACTGCATTAATTCTAGCAAACTGTGCCCTAAGACTTCGAATGACTAGGGTTAGCATTCCCTCTAAGGGTCCTTCCACCCAGCCATATAACCCAGAAAATCAAGACAGAAAATCTCACAATATCTACTTTGAACTGAGTTATCAGAGTCCACACTGCCATAAATTCCAGTTCAAAGCAGAAAATGTGGGATTTTATTCATCTGTGTGGAGAGAGGCCTTGACAACAGAAATGGTAGGAATGTGCAGGGTTGGTGTGTTCTTTTTGTGATGTGTGCTGGGGAAAACATTTAATTTTGCTGTACAATGATAATAAAGTTTCTCTATTCTTTAAAAAATCCACTGGTTAACTTTGAGCAAGTCCTACTTCCTCAGCCACAGAGAAAGGCAATGGGAAATCTCTGAATGAATCTTGCCATGAAAACCCTGAGGGAGGTTCACCTGAGATGAGGTAAAAGTACATAAAAACAACAAGAACAAAGTTAGGACAAACTAACAATCATGCTTTGTCCTAGCAAAGACACTAATGATAAGATTTGGAATGGCAGCCATAAATTAGCAACCTCTGAAGCATCTTCCGCACCTAAATTTACTAAAAGGACTCTCAAGTATTGCCCTGTAGTGTTTCCCACATCCTTTCCCAGATGAAAGTACATATACCAGTGGGAAGTGTGCTCCATCTCTGCTGTCTTCACATCCAAACTGGGGAAGAAAGAGAAGTACTCACCAAACTAAATAATTTTGAAAATCAGTCTGCATAAAAGCACTTGTTTGACAGTGTCACCTACAGTAACAATTTTAGAACAGTGTGTGTGTGTGTTCTGGAAGGACAAACCTTTGAACAATCTCTGTGGAAACTTTTACCATCGAACATTTGTTTCCTTTTGTGTCCTTGTTTATATTCTAAATCATTACAACAACAGATCTAGAAACGGAAGCATGAAAACTTTACACTGAAGAATACATTCCCAAAGAAGATGATTTTCAATTAGAAGTGTTTGGTAGACCATATGGTTGCTGCCTCCCCAGCAGTATAAGCAAACATCTTTGTTAAAGATTATAAACAGGGAGAGGGAAATTTCCATGCAACAAGAATGTAAAACAACTTCGTAATAAGAAAAAGAAGGAAAACACCTTGGGGGTGAATCACACTTGCAGACACTCCTTTCCTCGCCCCAAGCCATTTATTGCTTCTCCTGTTCATTCAATAACACTTTAGATTGCAGCTTTAAAAAAAGGAATGCCTTGAACATAAGAACATATCTTTTTGGGAAAGAGCTATACAACTTACATTTTCTGAAGATCATTGTCCATTAGTTTGATAGTTTATGTTGCTAGTGATGAAATCAGTCCATGAAATCTGACAAGTTGAAATAAATGCCCCCTTAACTTTTGGTAAGGCAGGAAGCTTAGTGCGGAGCTATTGAAAAAGTGAAACTAAACTCCGAGGAGTCACCCAAAGGCTTTGGCCAGCAGAGGTCTTCACTGTGCCTTTGGAGCATAAGGCAACGCCTGCTCTGTTCTGGTCACAAGGGAAAGGGAAAGTCAGGGTAACCCTGCCCCATTCATTGGTCTTTTAAGTACAATCATGGAAACCTCTATAGCTTTTGAAACACTTTGGCAAAGTTGCCAAATGACTATTTATAATGATTTCTCTTGAAGTTTTCCACCCCAATGAAACAGTTATTCTACCACAAAATATTTCAGATGGAACAAACCCATAAGTGAAGTCATATACTTTTAGCAAAATATTGTTATACACACAATAATGTTAGGATTTCTGGGTCAATTGTTGAAAATATGCTGGTATTGACATGATATATATCCCATGTGCATATGCTTATGTGCCTTCAAGTTGCGAGTTAACTTATAATGATCCCATGAATTTCATAGAGTTATCTTAGGCAAGAAATACTCAGAGGTTTTGCCAGTTCCTTCCTCTGAAAAATAAGCTACACACCTAGTAATAACTCCCACACTTGCATCTAAGTGGTAACCAGGGCTGACTCAGCTGACCACAAGGGTCATCCAGTTTAATTCCCTGCCATGCAGGAATACACAATCAAAGCACTGCTGATAGATGCCCATCCAGTCAGTGTTTACAAAACTCCAAAGAAGGAGGCTTCACCACACTTTAGGACAGCATATCTTACTTTAAGGTTGTTTATTATTATTATTTTAGGTGGAATCACTCTTTCTGTAATTTGAATTCATTGCTCTAGGGCAGTTTTGTCTGAGCCAAGGGACCCTGGAATGACCGTGTAAACAGTTACAGTTGGTTCTGTCTCAGAACTAGACCAACTGTTTACTGCCCCATTTGGAAGACTCACAGGAAGCCAACCCACCCGCCCCACACACATACACAAATCCACAAACTAGAGCACTTTAAACGGTGCATGGTCATCTGTGAAGCAGGTCACATAGCACCTGAGACCAGAGAGAAGATAAACATAGTCATGGCCATATCAAAAGCCAAATAAGGGGGAGGGGGCATGGAGAAAAGTCTGTGAATAATTATTAAATAATCTTTGCTGGTGGCATTCTCAGAGATTTAGTTGAGGGAGTGAGTTCACCATCTTTAGGAGTGTGGTCTCAGCCAACAGTCCACAAATTCAACGCTTCAGCCTAGTAAGCCCTTGCTCCCAGTTGACTTGGATGGGTGAAAGCCTTGAGAATGTAAGTTTGAAATCTAACCTCAGGAAGCTCTGGTTCTAGATCACCACCTCTTTCTCACTGACTACAATATCATCCACCATGTGGATATGTGAAATGCAGATAATAGCAAACTCTATTGAAATGAAGGACTTCCTGCCCAAGAATACTATAGAGCAGGCCTGCACAACCTGTGGCCTGCCAGGTGTTTTCAACTTCAGCTCCTAGAATTACTGACCATTGGACAGCTGGCTAGGGCTTCTGGGAGCTGGAAGCTCAAATACCCGAAGAGCCACAGGTTGTGAAGGCAGAGGCGGCCCTAGGTAATTTTCAACGGTAAGCAAACAGTATTTTGCCCCCCCCCCACCCCCACCCAACCAATCACTGATATATATTTTCTGTTCGTCATGGGAGTTCTGTGTGCCATATTTGAGGGTTTCCATCATTGGTGGAGTTCAGAATGCTCTTTGATTGTAAGTGAACTATACATCCCAGTAACTACAACTCGCATATGTCAAAGTCTATTTTCACCCAAGAGCGCCTCAAGAGCGCCCCTGGGCAAAATCAACTATACTGCAAATGCTTACTTTGCGTAATGGGTTGAGCCGCCCCTGTGTGAAGGCCTGCTATAGAATCATAAGGGAGGACCTAGAAAACATCTACAGAGGACATATTTTGTCTGACATTGGATAAATGAAACTATGGGTACTGTGCATGGTTGCAGTCTTTAGCAAAAACAACACACAATTTTCAGGATAATCATTTGCGGGGTTTTTTTTTCTCATTCTCAGGACAAATGTTTGAAGTGCATCTCTGTTTTATACACACAGAATTAGAGCCAAGACTGGGAGTTTTCTTTCTGATGTGCCAATCATACTCCACAGCTAACACAGAAATGCCAAAAACAAAATATTAAGTGCATATCATTCTGTCCATTATCTGTAAAACAGAAAATATAGTTTCATTTTGGTCCTGAAAAAGTCCAGGTAGATTTGAGAAGGTTTCTGCTCCATCTGGTGCCCACGTATCAATAACTGAAATTTCCTTCATGGCTTAAGGAGCTTCCAATAAGCTTGTCTCACTTATGATAATCCTTGCTGTCTTTCATAGCTAGACAGCATCATATTTTAAAAGATGTGTCTATTCAGCACAAAGTTTCATATTTAAAAAGCTAGCCTTGCTGGGACCAACAGAAAAACAGCACAATCCTTTGTGTCTCATATCATGGGTGTGAGATGTAATGATATTCTGATGAGGCTGTTTGGCTAGTGTTGCTGTACAGAAGTGTTTATAATAATATGATTATAACTGTATTTATGTTTGCTTTGGTTGCACTAAGGCTGGAGCAGCCTAGCTGTGAGGAGTGTGTTACCATGGAAACGATGCTGCAGAGGAGTGGGAGGAGCTTAGAGGAGAGTGTTTTCTGTAAAGTGACAGTTAAGAGTCAGTCAGGAGGGAGACTCTGAGAAGAGAGGAGTTAGGAGTGAGACTCTGAGAAGGGAAGAGTCAGTCAGTGTTTGAGACTCTGAGAAGGGAATAGTCAGAGATTTCTTCAGTTAGGAAAGCTGAAGGGGAAAACCTTGTTAGTTTCTTTAGTTAGAAAGAACTAACAGAGGCTCGCTTGGATACCTAGTTAAGAGAACTAGAGATCTGGTGTTTGATCACAGAAGAATCAAACAGGGAGACTATTCACCACTGTAAAACATTGTTTTAAGTGCTTCACCACAGCAAGAGTTTCATAAGTTGTAACATCGGAAGTTTGAACTGTATCACAACCAAGTTACATGTATCGTTCTTCAAGCATCTGCCAAGCTCAACATCAAACTGTAACCAGACGCTTTGTTTCAAATAAACTTGTTCTCTTTGGTTTTTAAGAAACTGCCTCATCTCCATTTATTCTACGCTCGGTGTACCCAATCTACCATAATTACCTCACAACACAAATAGGGTGGCATCCAGTGATATTAATACAAGAGCCTTTTACAAATCGAATATAGATCTTTTAAAATTGGTGGCAGGTTTTTTTGTAGCCATCTTTACATTTTTTATTTAGTGGACCTTTACATTTTTGGTGGCAGCTTGTGTAGCAGTCCTCCTTTACAATTGCGATGCAATTTTGTCTTCCTGTTGCTGCCCATTCAGCCCATTTTCAGTGTTGCCAAGCTTGCCCCAATTTGCTGGCAGACTTGGAAGAGGTTAATTTAATCACTGTATTCAGTTATGTGTTTGCTTAATCATCTTAGCTGCTTTCATTTTTCTCGTATGCTTTTTTCCTGATGATATATAATTTTTATGCAAGTAATAAAAGAAAGGTCCAGGGGGTATACTTATCATAAAGCAACCATAATCACACAAGTGGAAGAGAACCCCAAGCATCACTGAATGATCTGAATGCAATTTCTTTACACACACTTATAACTCTGCAGCTTATTGTACCAGCTTGCTTAAATAAATCACAGTGTTTTAATAACATCATCTCTGTAAATCCTGCCTTTTCTATTGCTTCCCCAGGCTGTAAATGAATGTGTAGTAATCATAATCATAACAGGAGAAGAGGAGGAGAAAGGACAGCAGTGGCAGCTGGTGAGTTACATTTTCAGCATCTATTCAGCCTGGCAGGTACTTTTACTCTACCTTCTACCATTTGCTCCTATATTTAGATACATACTCTCTGCTTTTTACTCGATGCTGTTTAGCCAGTATTGCACCACCTGACATTTGTCGGGAAGTAGTAGCTAATAATGAAAGGAGCAAGGCAGTGGCCCATCCCCTGTTCGGTTATCAGCCAGCACGCCAATGCCTTACAGCAATAAATAGTTTTCTAAGATCTACACAGATACTCACAGGAACACCTCAGCAAGTGAGAATCCAAATGTGGCAGTCTAAAATCTGGAAACTCAAGCCATGGCTAACACCAAATGAGAGACTCCCCCCTGGGCACACAGAAGACTGGACAACTTGGAAGGTGCTGAACAGACTGCACTCTGGCACCATGAGATGCAGAGCCAACCTTAAGAAATGGGGCCACAAAGTGGAGTCCACAACATACGAGTGTGGAGAAGACCAAACCACACACCACGTATTACAATGCAGTCTGAGCCCTGCCACATGCACAAAGAAGACCTTCTTATAACAATACCAGAGGCACTCCAAGTAGCCAGCTACTGGTCAAAGGACATTTAATATAATGCTAAGTTCTTAAACTTTGTGTTTTTTAAATACATTACAACTGTACCCTTGGTTCGCTCATTTCCCCACATTCCTGCTGAACATCCTCTCTTACACCATATTTGTATACTGATAGTTTAATTTGATTTTGGTTCCCAACAATATATTCCATAAGCTTCCTGTCATTCACTTAATGAAAAGGCAAATTAAATTATCTTTAAATAACTATTTTTACTCCTAACAAGGGTTCAATGGCTTTAAAAGCTGAACAATAAAGCCACAAGTATATTTGACAAATTTCTTAATTTTTTTTAAAAAAAACATGTTTATTGTAATTCCTTCATATTGTTGTGCAAAAATACATTTTATATCTTCCTGGCATGTTTTTTTAAAAACAGAAGATAAAAAGAAGTTTGCAGTCATGTGCTTTTGTCCTTGTTCGTAGGGACTTCACCTGCAGCAAAAGTACAAACAATTAAGAAGTGATACATAGAAACATATCCAGAAGAGTTTGCCATTATTTCTTTGATGGGATCACTTTTAAAAAAATGAAATTCAAATTGCAAAAATGGCAACTTCCTTTTAAGTAGCAAGACACATTGTTTTATTCAAAGCTGATCAGAATTTATTTTCAAATAATTCTGTTCATTCTGCAAAGATTCTGACATTCACTCTAACCAATACATAGGAATAATCCAGTGATTTATTTCTATGCAGTCTTTAAGGCACATTCAGCACATATCTGTGTTCGCATCTGCTTTGGTTCAGCAAATCCTTCATTGCACATCTGGGGCCCCATATCCAGGTAAATGAGCGTCCTGTGTCCCAAGAGCATCTTTTTCATGACCATAGACCTCTACAACATGTATAGTACTGATGGTATGCAAGGCAATACTTTGTCCTGGTACTAACTGATGACCAAGTGCACCAATGGTTTTGGCTGAATTCCTTTGTAAATAATTTTCTCCATAACACTCAGTCCCTGTAATGTCTCCACTGCATTCTTCATGGAAGCTGTAAGACAAAACCAAAAAAGAGCAGATTATATCTCAATGTTATGAGGAGGAGAGGGCAAGCCCTTGATCTGTTTTAGCCATTGAATTGACATGAAATAGATGAAAATATAGAGTATGCCATTAGTCCTGCTTTTACCCATTAACATTAATTTAGTATGAAACCATGTACTAAGTGCTGTATAATTGACAGGAAGTCAAAATAATCGAGACCAAGAGTGAGTGGGAGAGAGTGAAATTTGTAGTCGTGGGATGGTATTTCTAATCATATATTACATGTAATAACATAAAATGGGCCCATATGCAACAGTTTTTAAAAGTTAGCTATAGTAAATGTGAAATAAATTTTAAGTTGTGTTAATGCAGGGTTTGCAAGAAAGGGTCATTCATTTCAAGAGTAATACAATTCCTTTGTGAAACCACAAAATATATTCATCAGTTCCATGAACACTTAAGGAAAAAATGGCTACTGCATGAATGAGAGCCATATGCCTTGCCACCTACATTTATTGATGTGTGGACTGACGGCAAATCTTGAAGATGTCAGCTTCGACCTGAGTCACTGAACAGTTATTTGTGTCTCTGTGTAAAAATACCCACTGTATCTTTAACCAGCGGTATTATTTAAAGAATCACATTTGTTAAAAGTATTCCTAGGGCTAGTTTATTCATTCTGCAGTGCTCGTGTATGAGATGAAAATTACACACATCTCACAACTTTCATATTCTTAGTTCTATGAATTCTAAGATTAGCAAGAACTAGCCCAAAAGCAAGGCTCTTCCAGGAAAGTATGACATCTAGGAAATCATTATTAGTTTCTATTTATTTCCTATATTTATACCCCACCCTTCGCCCCCCGAAAGGAGATAGATTTCTACTGTATCGCTCCTGGCATGTGATAAGTCAACAGAATAATATATTGTACAGGATGAATAACCCTTATCCAAAATGTGGGGCCAGATGCGTTTTGGAATTTCAAATATCTGCAGTGGCACATATGTACTTGAGGTGATATCCTGAAGATGGAACCAAGTCTGAACACAAAATAAATGTATATTTCATAGATGCCTTATAAGAAGGTATTTTATACAATACTAGTATATATATATATATATATCCTGTGTTGCCTGGGTATGCATTTTCTCATGATATCTATTAGAAATACTCATTGTTAGTGTTATGATTTTAAGGATGGTTCAATCACAGAGCTGAGGAAAAATATTCTCAATTTCTAATTTTTCATTCTTGAAATCAGTGTAATATATAACTATTTGCGGTAGAACATGGACACTGCAAGCCCTTGTTTCACTGGGCCACTGCTTTATTTATGTCACAGAATATGGGGAGAGTAGAGGAGGAAAAGAAAAGGGAGGGGAGGAATGGGGGCACTCCCTTGGCTGCAATCAGAACTGGCATAGTGCTCGCATTTCCTCCATTCCGGTTACATGTTCACCATATTGTTGTTTAAATTTGCAACCTGCCTTTCTTGCAGTAAGCATGAGACACTGTATGTGATTTTGCTCCTCCTCCCCCCTCTTCAACCCTGCAAGAACAGATGAGACTTTGAGAAAGAAGTACTAACCAAGGTCATGCGGTGAGCTTGGATCTCCCAAACATGAGCCAACAATGTGATGTGGCAGCAAAAAAGCCAGCTGCATCAATAGAAGTATACTGTCAAGATCCAGGGAAGTCATGCTACCCCTCTGTTCTGCCTTGGTTAGACCACTTCTGGAATACTGTGTACAACTCTGGGCACTACAATTGAAGGGAGATATTGACAATCTGGAATGTGTCCAGAGGAGGGCGACTAAAATGATCAAAGGTCTGGAGAACAGCACTGAGGAACGGCTTAAAGAGCTGGGGATGTTTAGCCTGCAGAAAAGAAGGCTGAGAGGAGACATGTATAAGTATGTGAGAGGAGGGAGCAAGCCTGTTTTCTGCTGCCCTGGAGACTAGGATGCAGAACACCAGTGGAACTCTCTGCCCCAGAGTGTGGTGGAGGCTCCTTCTTTGGAAGCTTTTAAACAGAGGCTGGATGGCCATCTGTTGGGAGGTGCTTTGAATGCAATTTTCCTGCTTCTTGCCAGGGGGTTGGACTGGATGGCCCATGAGGTCTCTTCCAACTCTATGATTCTAGGCAGGCATGTAGCCGAGGGGGGGGGGTCTGGGAGGCCTGGTGCCGGGGGGGGGGGGGCTTGCGGGGCTTCAGCCCCCCCCCCCCGAAATTCTCATGGTGGTTCGCGAAAAGGCCTTACTGGTGCATTATTTAAACTGTTATGTTTATTCATATCATGATCTGATCACCATACTCAATATATCCCATATGCATGGGGGTATTGGGGTAACGATACAAAAGGTTTGCTAGGGTAGACCCTCTTTCACTCTGACTCAGCCCCCCTATCCCAAATGCATGGGGGTATTGGGGTAACGATACAAAAGGTTTGCTAGGGTAGACCCTCTTTCACTCAGACTCAGCCCCCCCCCAAACAAACTCAGCCCCCCCAAATCTAAAATCGAAATCCTGGCTACAGGCCTGATTCTAGGAAATGCCAGAATTATAAAGAGTTGCATTCAAGGAAGCATTACCGGCAGTGCATTTCACTGAGCACTGCATGTTGCCAAATGTGTAAGTTTCTCATATTAAATTCAAATTCAGTAAATATTATGTCAGCATAAAGAATTCAGTGTTCTTGACATAATTATTCAAGTGGTTTAAAATAATTAAACTTAAGTAGTCAGAAAGGAGAAAAAGGGCACAGGGAGACAAATTACTTGAGGGAAAAGGTGTGGTTTCCTGTGACATTTATATCTGATTGCTAGACAATAGGTGTTGCTCCTTTTGTGTTCAAGGAGACAGATGTAACAAAAATCTTACTCCTTTTTTTCAGCCTGGTAGGGACAGTGCTTAGAAAAGTTACTTTATTCAGACTTTAACCTCCTTTGGCTATGCGGGATAAATTAAGACCATTTGGCTGGTATTCTGTATTGTAGTACCTAGAGCAGGGGTCTTCAAACTATGGCCCGCAGGCCACTTCCGGCCTGCCAAGGGCACTTATCCGGCCCACGGAGGAGGAGCGCCCCCCCCACACATAGTGCCCCTCCCTTGGCTGGCTCACGCTATCCATCAGGCCTGATGGGCAGCGCGAGCCAGCCAAGGGCAGCTGCTCCACGCGGCCTACTCGTGCGTAAAGCACCTCGCAAGGTGCTTTACGCGCAAGTAGGCCGCGCGGGGCTGCTCCTCCCTTGGCAGGCTCACGCTGCCCATCGAGCCCGAGTTGGTGCCCATCTCTATTTCTAAGCCAAAGAGCTGGCGTTGCCCATAGACAACTCCAAGGTCATGTGGCTAGCATGACTGCATGGAGCACCATTACCTTCCTGCTGAAGCAGTTGATCTACTCACATTTGCATGCTACACTGGCAGGAGCTGGGGCTATCAGCGAGAGCTCACCCTTCTTCCTGGATTTGAACCATCAACCGTTTGGTCAGCAAGTTCAGCAGCTCAGCGGTTTAACCCACTGCACCACCAGGGGCTTCGAAAAGGATCTGATTACCCATCAATCAAATTACATATATAAAAAGTGGAAACATGTATGTATGCATACATATAGCTTGATTAATCTGGACCATACTTGGTATACATACCCTTCATTGCCCAATCTAAAATAATGGTTTCATCTACAAAGCCCACTCATTTCAGGCTAGGGCCTCAAAAATAAAATAAATGCAAGTATGTATGCAGCACTCAGATGCAACCACAAGAAGGCGCCATACAGATTAAAAAAAACTACCTCAGAAAGAGAGAGAGAAAAATAGAAGAATGCTAGAGTGTCAGCAGGGAGACATACTAACAGTCCCTCTCAGGGGCCAGAGGCATGCCATGAAGATGTTCCGGGTTGGGGAGGGGGGTGGCGCTTCTCAGAGGCCAGGCAAAGATGAGAATGAGCAAGAGAAGGGAGATGACAAAACTAGATAATAATTCAGTCTATAAATGATTAAAAGAATTCTATATTCAAGGCTGTGGGTTTTTTTAATGCATGTAGAAAAGAATTAACCAGATTTACTCTCTGCTAAGAAGCTGTGTACTTTTATTTATCGTATCAGAAGCGAACCAAGGGTACAGTTGTAATGTATTTTAAAAACACAAAGTTTAAAAAAACTTGGCATTATGCTGTGTCCTTTGACCAGTAGCTGGCCACTTGGAGTGCCTCTGGTGTTGCTATAAGAAGGTCCTTCATTGTGGGAGGACATGAGAGAAGCCTCCGCACAGGACTGCAACACATCCGGCGTCCCCTGAGGAACATCTTTGGAGATGGCTGATTCTCTCACACCAGAAGTGACAAGAAGCTGAGTACTGAAACTTTAATTTTTTTAAAAAAAACTAGCTTATGTGCCCACTGTTACTTGGTATGCATGTCTATTCATAAAAGTGTAAGGTTAACAATGAGTATGTCCATTAATAGCATTAGACAATGCAAACCTGAGCAATGGCAGATATATATGCTAGTTATTAATAAAGGCTAATCTTGCTTAGTTTCCAAGATGAGATGGTATCTTTAGGTGGTGATGGAGATGGGGGGTAAAATGTCACCATCCTGATGCCCCAATTTGCAGCTGAACAGATCATTTGCTCAATGCAGCTTCCGGCTGTTAAAAAGGTTATGGCAAGGCACTTACAACTGTAGCAATAGTAAAAACATAATCTTCCTTGTGCCATGATTGACAGCTGAACAGACCTTCACCTGATGAAGCTTCAGGCCATCAAGGTATGGTTGCAGCCAGGAGATGTCACCTAATTGCCTATTCATAACTAGCTGAAATAGGGTGTCAGTGATAGCTTCCAAGAATAACTTGTCCAAAACTAATGAAGTCTCAATATGGGTCTTTATTAAAGGGAAATAATTAATTGCATATACAGTCAGATAAGGCAGATCTTCCTTTGTAAAATTAATAAAAAATATTGTACAGTACACTGAAATGCAATAACTGAGGGCACATATAGA